TGCCAACCAAGATGGCCGACATGGCTAAAAATAGAACATAGGGGTAAATTGCAAATTTTGTCTATTATTTAAATTTTGAAAACCGTTATAAATAGAGAAAAATCTGACAAGGGCAAAAATGTTCAGAATATTGAGCTCTTCCAATTATCAAACTATCAAACGACTTCTTATAGGAGTTATTGCCCTTAAATGACAAATTTTACCATTTTCAAAGCGGAGGGGGCATTAAGTTTTACCCTTGTCCGTTTGTATGAACATACGTCCCAAAATTGGTTTCTGTTCTCTAACTTAAGTTTGCCTCATCCAAATGTTATGAAACTTTTACACAAGGCTTATTACCACAATACACAGATCAAGTTTGAATTTTGGTGGCGTCCCTTTTACTGTTCTAGAGTTATGCCCCTTTACAAACGGAGCAATTTTTCATTTTTTTTCTAAAAATATCAATGTCATTATTCAAGTAATTTTTAAAATTGGAGTTATCTTCCTTTGTCCATGATTATAGTTGAATCAACTAGAATCAATACTTTATACAATGCAATGTTTAATTTTGCCTTCCACTGATAAAACACAGATCAAGTTGAATTTGGGAAGTGTCACTTTAACCATTATTGAGTTATGCCCCTTTATAAATCGAACAATTGCAAATTTTTTTAGTTTCCATTCTGTTACTTAAGTTTGCCCCAACCAAACATTATAAAACCTATACACAATACTCATTACCACAAAACTAAGAACAAGAACAAATTTTTTGTTTCCGTTCTCTAACTTTAGTTTGCCTCAACCAAATGTTATGAAACTTATACACAATGCTTATTACTACATAATACAGTTTACAAATGTGTAAATACAAAATTCAGTGGCGTCACTTTTACCATTCTTGAGTTATGCCCCTTTATAAACATAAAAATTGCTGATTTTTCTTTTCTGTTCTCTAACTTTGGTTTGTCTCAACCAAATGTTATAAAACTTATACACAATGCTTATTTCCACAAAACTCAGATCAAGATCAAATTTGGGTAGCGTCACTTTTACTGTTCTTTGGTTATGTCCCTTTATAACTATATGATATGCAAGCGGGGGCATCATCTGTGTCCACATATGGACAAAGTCCACATTTATTTTTTTTCATTTTTGCCTATTATCTTGAAAATTATAGAGAGAAACTTTAAAGTGCAAAAAATGATCAGCAAAACAAGTTCTACAAATAAGTCGGCATGGTAAAAATAGTCGATCAACTCCTTATAGAGTTTTTGCCCTTTGATGACAATTTTTACACAATTTTTTTGCGTTTTTATACGACCACAAAAAATTTGCATTCATATAATGCTATCATGTGGTCTGAGTCGTCGTAGTCCGAAGACACATTTGGTTCCGGACAATAACTTTAATTTAAGTGAATGGATCTCTATTAAATTTTACCAGAAGGTTCAATACCACAAAAGGAAGGTTGGAATTGATTTTGGGGGTTATGGTACCAACAGTTTAGGAATTAGGGGCCATAAACAAGCATTTTTGTAGTTTCCTTACAATTACTTGTGTGTAAGTGTATGGATGTCTCTGAAATTGTACCACAAGGTTCCATATCACAAAGGAAAGGCTGGGATTGAGTTTGGGGGTAATTGCCCCAAACGTTCAGGAATTAGGGGCCAAAAACAAGCATTTTTCTAGTTGCCAGACAATAACTTGTGTTAAAGTTTATGGAACTCTCTGAAATTGTACTTTTTCCTGAAACGTGAAAAGAAAATCTTTAAAATTCGAAAAAAAAAAAATTTGGGGGGGGTTCAAAAAAGTTTGGGGGGGGGGGGGGTTTCAATATTTTTTTGTGGGTTCATATTTTTTTCTTCAAATTTTTTCAAAAAAATGTTTTGTTTTGTGGGGGGGACACACAGTATTGCGCAATAGCAAGAAATCTTCAATTGAAAATAAATACAAATCTTTTAACCAATTTCAATGGGATTAAATTAAGTCTTAAATTTTTGGGGGTTCTAACCTTGTATTACTATTTTGGATATTAGGTCCCATTTTTAAATTGGTCTACATTGAGGTCCAAAGGTCAAGATCTACAATTAAAATTATATGGAGGAAATCGTCTGATGACTCCTTATTGGAGTTATTGGCCTTTAATGATGATTTTTACCATTTTTTATACGACAGCAAAAAAATTTTTATTTTTGCGGTCGTATATTGGTATGACGTTGGCGTCGTCGTCGTCATCGTCCGAAGACACATTGGTTTTCGCACTCTAACTTTAGTTTAAGTGAATGGATCTCTATGAAATTTTATCATAAGGTTCAATACCACAAAAGGAAGGTTGGGATTGATTTTGGGGGTTATGGTACCAACAGTTAAGGAATTAGGGGCCAAAAAGGGGCCAAAAATAAGCATTTTTGTAAGTTCCAGACATAACTTGTGTTTTAGTGTATGGATCTCTCTGACATTGTACCACAAGGTTCCATATCGCACAGGAAATGCTGGGATTGATTTTGGTGGTAATTGCCTCAAAATATGAGGAATTAGGGGCCAAAAAAGGGGCAAAAAACAAGCATTTTGCTAGTTTCATGACAATAACTTGTGTGTAAGTTTATGGATCTTTCTGAAATTGTACTACAAGGTTCCATATCACAAAGGGAAAGCTGGAATTGAGTTTGGGGGTAATTGCCCAAAACGTTTAGGAATAAGGGGCCAAAAGTAAGCATTTTTCTAGTTTCCAGACAATAACTTGTGTTCAAGTGTATGGATCTCTCTAAAATTGTACTGCAAGGTACCATACCACAAAGGGAAAGCTGGGATTGAGTTTGGGGGTGATGAATCATAAGGGGGTTCAAAAAATTTGGGGGAGGGATTTTTTTTTCATTTTTTTTCTTTTTTTTTTTTTTTTAAATTTTCCATTTTAAGTTGGTTATTTCTGTTTTATATTTAAAAGCAAATAATAATGATATGATAGGAGATACACACCAAATAGGATGTGTAAATTATCATATAATAAGTATTGTGCAATAGCAAGAAATTTTCAATTGCACAGTATTGCACAATAGCAAGAAATCTTCAATTGCACAGTATTGCGCAATAGCAAGAAATCTTCAATTGCACAGTATTGTGCAATAGCAAGAAATATCCAGTAGCACAATATTGCGCAATAGCAAGAAATTGTCAATTGTACAGTATTGCGCAATAGCAAGAAATATTCAATTGCACAGTATTGTGCAAAAGAAGATACTTTGTATAAATTGCTTATTTCTTGACCAATTTCAATGGGGTTTTATTCGTGAATTCTTGGGGTTCTTTAATATGCTGATTCTAACCATGTATTAAGTTTTTGGATTTTGGGCCCCGTATATAAATTGGTCCACATTGAGGTCCAATGGGTCCAAAACTAAACTTTGTTTGATTTCATCAAAAATTGAATTATTGCGGTTCTTTGATATGCCAAATCTAACCATGTATTTAGATTCTTAATTTTTGGTTCCGTTTTCAAATTGGTCTACATAAAGGTCCAAAGGGTCCAAAATTAAACTTAGTTTGATTTTAACAAAAATTGAATTCTTAGGGTTCTTTGATATGCTGAATCTAAACATGTATTTAGATTTTTGATTATGGGCCCAGTTTTCAAGATTTTTGCCATGAATTCTTTTCTCGTCTACAATGTAGGAGAGTGTCCTTTGTTGAATATGCTCATAGACCAAGGTGAGTGACACAGGCTCTTTAGAGCCTCTAGTTATTATCCTTCACGGTCACAAAAACATTTAAACTTAAAGCGCTAATTACATCCAGATGATTATGGGGCATGCTAAATGAACAGTTTTTTTTCGGTCACAGCGATTTTGGGATAGGTTAAAGGAAGTGTTTTTTATTTGATCACACCCGAAAAAATGTTATTCTCCACATATTGCAGTTTATTCAAAATTCTGACCAAATTGCAATTTGTTTTATCAAACCAAACTGTTCAACTGGTCAGAAATTTTAACGAACTGCAGTTGAAAACTACAGTCAAGTCGTGAAAGTGCAAGGTGATAAAATAAAACATACAGTCCTTTGAGACTTTAATTCCATTTCATTGAAATTTTCATAATGTTTTTAAGAATTTCTATACAGACTTTTATTGTAATTGTCAATTCCCCTGTTTTACTTTTTTTAAAAGATTTTATAAAATACAAAATTCTGTGTCAAATTCATCAAAAGTATCGCAAACTGGAAAACTTGTTTGGTTGACAAAAATTTATCTAAACCAAGATTTTGGTTAAAACAGTTTCACTGGTGAAGCCTGTAAAAGTAATTACTCTAGATCTCTTTCTTAATGCATTCTGTAGTCAACTAAAATATAATAATTCTGGCAAAAAGATTTACAAAAAGTCATTGATTACTTTCGCTATATATGGAATACTCGTTTCACAGATGACAGCAGATATGTTCCAATTGGCGTAAGGTTCCACAATCCTTTCTACTTTTCCTCGAATGTGACTTATCGAATTAGACTTAACACCAGGTTTGTACTTACATGAGCAACACAACGGGTGAAACAGGTGGAGAATGATCTGTTTACCCTTCCAGAGCACCTTAGATCATCCCTGGTTTTTTCATGTTGCTCAGTCTTAGTTTTAAATGTTGTGTTTTATAAACTGTTGTTTGTCTTATGGTCTTTTTTTGTTCTTTGTCATGGCATTGTCAGTTTATTTTCGACGCAATGAGTTTCAATACCCCTTTACCTTTAGTATCTTCGCCTCTTTTCAGAGACATATTATCTATTGTAAAATCTTGTTTCAAGGTTTTTTTTTTGCTGCAGAAGATTTCCAATTTTATGTACACATACAGGACTAAGTTCAATTTTATCACTCATGTGTCACTGGGAAAAAGTTATGGATTGGTTGATGACTAATCTTTTTTTTTTTTTTTGACCTTGTGGTCAACCCTAGGTACAATGTACATGAGGTAAAAAAATGGATGTGCTTTTATAAATTACATTTTACCAGTTTGATTATAAGTTTTTTTTTCTATTTCAGTTGGTAAAACTTCTTTGATAACAAGATTTATGTATGACAGCTTTGACAATACCTATCAAGTAAGTTTTTATGTTTAAATCTTTGGAAATTCAATGATAACTTTTACAAGCAAAAGTGTGTTGCCACTTCACTCATATTTTTACTCGAGTACATTGTATACAGTGGCAGGATGTAAAAATCATAGTGGAGCGAATATGTCCAAACTTGTGAAAGATTACATGTACATATCTGTTCTGGAATTTTCATTTATCATTAGATCTGCTGATAGTCAATAATATGAATCAACATGCAGACATTAGGTGCAGAAATTGTAATACCTATGTACTTATAAGAAATTGATAATGCAGGAGATAAATCAATACCTACATGTCTGTATCATTTCATCCTAACAGCAAAAATGCAATCAATGATTTCTTGTGTGATTATTTTAATTTCTTTGGCTTCAAGAAGTCAGTTCAAATAATGCAGAATGCATTACAAAAAAGCAGAAAATGGTAATGTAACATTGGGAATGAGGTGGTGTCTGCAAATTCTTGAAACTCCAAATTAAAACAGGAACTGCAATATTAATATGTATCAGTTTAGTATCGCAGTAGCAAGATCCATCTGATGATTTATTGTTTGTTTTAAATCCAGTAATCAAAATTTAAGGAAACTGTATAAGCTGCAGATCCAATATTTCAAAGGAATCTGAAATCCAAAAAATTGCATGCAAATATTTTTCCCTGGTAAAAACTTTTTTCTTCCAAAATACTTTTTATGTATGTACTAAATGTAACTTTATTGTACCTTATAAGGAGGTGTACCTTTAAATTTCTAAAGATGAATTTCAAATGATAAAATGCTCACATAAAAGCCTTATTCTTTATAAGTTGCAACAATTTTTAGTTAGATACTAATGATAGCTCAATATTAGGAGTCTCAACTGACGCATTAACTTATTCTGGAATTTATTCATGAACATATGAAGCTGTGTGTAATATTGAAAAAGAGCGATATTTGAATTTGTAAAAATGTTCACTATATGTCTGATTATAAACTCTCAGTAATAGTATACATAATTGACATGTTGTATGTACTATCAATCACCATATATGCATTGTAGGTGAACTTGATCACATATAATTGCATTTGTTTTTCAGGCTACAATAGGTATTGATTTCTTGTCCAAAACTATGTATCTAGAAGATAGAACAGTAAGTAGAAAAAATTAAATGTTTTTTGAAATACACTTTGTGAACAATCTGACAATAAAAATGAAAATTAGCATGTTTAGGGGGAACCTATTTTAATATTTATCTGATTTTAGGATGGGTCTGTTTTCAAATTTTTGGTCAGATTTGTTTCTGCTGATTTATTAATTTACACAGAAAACGGTTTTAGTTGATTAAGAATTGTAATTTGTATGCCCAGAGAGTAAACAATGGTAGTCCATCAAATGTGGTAATAGGATTTCAGAACAACTCAGCTTGAACGTGAAACAGACACTACTTGTTTGTGTTATCCATCAACTTGGTCATCACGATAAAATTTTGTGACATCAGGCATGACAGGTCGGACTCTAATTTTCTGGAAATTTTGTATATATTCTGTTGACCTGTTGTAGAAATTCTTATGTGCATGCTGGAAATTTTACAAGCCTGAGGAATGCAATATCAAATGTGGATTTCTGATAAGGTTCATTTCAGAATAAGTTCTGCAAAAAACATTGATATTTTGCATATTTTTTTTTTTTAGAGAATCTGTGTATTTCAATGGTTATAGTATGAAATAAAGATGTCACAGTCCTCAAGTGTCAGAATTTTAACATTGTATAAATACTAACTTGTTGCTAAGTTTTCAATGAAATAAAGATGTCACAGTCCTCAAGTGTCAGAATTTTAACATTGTATAAATACTAACTTATTGCTAAGTTTTTGTCGAGCCTGCGACTTTTGTCGCAGAAAGCTCGATATAGGGATAGCGATCCGGCGGCGGCTACGGCGGCGGCAGCGTTAGCTAACTTCTTTAAAGCTTTATATTTTAGAAGATGGAAGACCTGGATGCTTCATACTTTGTATATGGATGCCTCATGTTACGAAGTTTCCGTCAGTCACATGTCCAATGTCCTTGACCTCATTTTCATGGTTCAGTGACTACTTGAAAAAAAAGTTCAGATTTTTTGTAATGTTAAATTCTCTCTTATTATAAGTAATAGGATAACTATATTTGGTATGTGCGTACCTTGCAAGGTCCTCATGCCCGTCAGACAGTTTTCACTTGACCTCGACCTCATTTCATGGATCAGTGAACAAGGTTAAGTTTTCGTGGTCAAGTCCATATCTCAGATACTATAAGCAATAGGTCTAGTATATTCGGTGTATGGAAGGACTGTAAGGTGTACATGTCCAACTGGCAGGTGTCATCCGACCTTGACCTCATTTTCGTGGTTCAGTGGTTATAGTTAAGTTTTTGTGTTTTGGTCTGTTTTTCTTATACTGTATGCAATAGGTCTACTATATTTGGTGTATGGAATGATTGTAAGGTGTACATGTCTAGCTGGCAGGTGTCATCTGACCTTGACCTCATTTTCATGGTTCAGTGGTCAAAGTTAAGTTTTTGAGTTTTGGTCTTTTTTTCTAATACTGCATGCAATAGGTCAGCTATATTTGGTTTATGGAATGATTGTAAGGTGTACATGTCTAGCTGGCAGGTGTCATCTTACCTTGACCTCATTTTCATGGTTCAGTGGTCAAAGTTAAGTTTTTGAGTTTTGGTCTTTTTTTCTAATACTATATGCAATAGTTCAACTATATTTGGTGTATGGAAATATTTTATGATCTATATGTCAGTCACGAAGGTTTTATTTGACCTTGACCTCATTTTCAAGGTTCATTGCTCAGTGTTAAGTTTTTGTGTTTTGGTCTGTTTTTCTTAAACTATAAGCAATAGGTCAACTATATTTGTTGTATGGAAGAATTGTTAGCTGTACATGCCTGCCTAACATGGTTCATCTGACCTTGACCTCATTTTCATGGTTCATTGGTCAATGTTTAGTTTACTTGGTTAATGTTAAGTTTATGTGACAGTTGTAATAAAGCTTTATATTTAGGACTATCAACATAATATCAATGATTAGTAAAGAAGGCGAGACATTTCAGCGTGTGCACTCTTGTTAATTTTAAGTCCCGTTTTTTAAATTGGTCTACATTAAGGTCCAAAGGGTCCAAAATTAAACTTAGTTTGATTTAAGCAAAAATTGAAATCTTGGGGTTCTTTGATATGCTGAATCTAAACATGTGTTTAGATTTTTGATTATGGGCCCAGTTTTCAAGTTTGTCCAAGTTGGGGTCCAAAATTAAACTTTGTTTGATTTTAACAAAAATTGAATATATGGGGTTCTTTGATATGCTGAATCTAACCATGTATTTTGATTTTGGACATTGGACCATAATAGGTAAATTAAAAAAATTCAAGTTCTTAGACCACATTCTTTCTGTGTCAGAAACCTATGCAGTGTCAAATATTTAATAACAATCCAAATTTAGATCTGTATCAAGCTTGAATGTTGTGTCCATACTTGCCCCAACTGTTCAGGGTTCGACCTCTGCGGTCGTATCAAGCTGCGCCCCAGCGAAGCATTTTATTTTAATGAAAAATATGAAAGTCAGTATGCCCTAAGTCATGGTTCACAGATTAGAATTTTTACTTTTATTCTGATAAGGTCTGTTTTAAATGAGAACATGTAAATAAATTTTCTTATAATGTGCATACTGTCTGATTATCATCATGGTCACTACATTTAAGTTTTGATCATGTACATGTACAAGTAAAATGACAGTCTATCAATTAGATGTTTTTGATTTGGTTACATGTACTTAGCTAATATTAGTCATACATATATGTCTGTGTTAACCCTTTCATTATATGATAGAATATAAATGAGTCAAACTGTTACCATGGTTACAGAAATATAACTCTTTTTCAGATAAGATTACAATTGTGGGATACAGCTGGTCAAGAGAGGTTCCGAAGTTTAATTCCTAGCTACATAAGAGATTCTTCTGTGGCTGTAGTAGTGTATGATATAACAAGTAAGTTTTCCATTTTATATTTTATTGTTTTTTCACAGTTGAGTCGTCATGGCAACAGAAAACTTAATATATGTTATGCAATCATTTTATGCATTTTTACCATGTAAATAACAATTACACAGAAAAAAGGAAATATATAACTAAAATATGATAAATGCAACAAATACTGTAATACTTATCCTTAAACGAGGAATTTAACATCCTCAAGTTTGAAAGACAATCAAAAATCTGTTTATCACTATTTTCTATGAAACATCAATGACATAGCTATAGGCTTCTGACATAATAAATTCTCCTCCTTTGGACTGAGAAATGTCCATATCATTTGATGAGCATGAGATTGAAAATTATCATACAGAAGAAGGAAAAAATGAGGAAATAGTCATAATTAAAGCTATTTAAGAAGATAATATTTCGGACAATGATAATGAGCTATGAATATGAAGAGAGTAGTGCAAAGTCCTTGTCTTTCTTGGGGCAAATAATCAAACATCCCAAAAAAATCTGTAAACTGCCTGCCACACATGTTTTCAAAGTGTATACAATTGTACTCAGTAATTTTACATTTGCAATGTTTACAATTTTTTTCAGATGCTAATTCTTTTCAACAAACATCTAAATGGATAGATGATGTACGAACAGAACGAGGTAGTGATGTCATAATTATGTTAGTAGGAAATAAAACAGATTTATCTGATAAAAGGTAAGTTTGTGTGTTAGTATGTTGATTGTTAAACTTGTCTGCTAAAGATAGAATCTGCAGGATTAGTTTCTAGCTACAACAGGGGTACGGCTTATTGACACCTTTTATACACATATAACTAGAGTGTATAAAAGGGAAATTTTAATCATGTCAGAAATTGGTTCCTATTAAAAGCAACATTGAATCTAGCATGTGCAAAAGTGGAGAAGGACAAACTTTAAGCTACCACCTTAATCAAGGTACTAGTAGCTGTTATCATGTAAAAAAGCTTATGAATCAAATACACATTCTTTAAAAAACAACTGTAAGTTCCCCAAATATGAAAAAAGAGGATGTGGGACATACTTCAATGAGACTGTAAAGTTCAGACAAAAAGAGAGTTAAATAATCTCTTTACTGGACAAGTGTTTATCTTTATAAATATATATAGCTATTACAAAGCAGGGTGAATACTATCACAATAACATGTTCCGTCCTGGATATGCATTTAATTTTCCGCTGGACATTAAACAGCCATCCACTATAAATCATCAAACTTTTTTTTAGTAAGGTCTGTTATACTATGATAAAGAAGTCATATAGAGAATTTTTTGTTAAATTAGGGTGGGTGGGGATGACAAACTATTAATTTTAATAGGCCTAAACTTACTGTTATATAATGCATTTTACAGACAAGTAACATCAGAAGAGGGTGAAAGGAAAGCTAAAGAATTAAATGTAATGTTTATAGAAACTAGTGCAAAAGCTGGTTATAATGTGAAACAAGTAAGTAATCATTTGTAATTGTTTCTGTATGTTAACATTTTTGTCTAGCCTGCGACAACAAGCCATAGCGATCCTAGATTCCGTCCGCAGCAGCGTCAACATTTAGGTTCAGTCTGTGGTTAAAGTTTTTTTAGACATCAATAACTTTGGTCAAACTTTCATGGAATTTTATTAAATTTGGACAGAAGCTTGTTTATGACCAAAATACAGTATCCAGGGCAAAATTTTGTAAACATTGATTTTCATTTTTCTGTATTTTTACTAATAAACATGATAAATGAACTTAGTTTTTGTCGAGCCTGCGACTTTTGTCGCAGAAAGCTCGACATAGGATAGTGATCCGGCGGCGGCGTTAGCTAACTTCTTAAAAGCTTTATATTTTAGAAGGTGGAAGACCTGGATGCTTCATACTTTGTATATGGATGCCTCATGTTACGAAGTTTCCGTCAGTCGCTTGTCCAATGTCCTTGACCTCATTTTCATGGTTCAGTGACTACTTGAAAAAAAAGTTAACATTTTTTGTAATGTTAAATTCTCTCTTATTATAAGTAGTAGTATAACTATATTTGGTATGTATGTACCTTACAAGGTCCTCATGCCCGTCAGACAGTTTTCACTTAACCTCGACCTCATTTCATGGATCAGTGAACAAGGTTAAGTTTTGGTGGTCAAGTCCATATCTCAGATACTATAAGCAATAGGTCAAGTATATTCGGTGTATGGAAGGACTGTAAGGTGTACATGTCCAACTGGCAGGTGTCATCTGACCTTGACCTCATTTTCATGGTTCAGTGGTTATAGTTAAGTTTTTGTGTTTTGGTCTGTTTTTCTTATACTGTATGCAATAGGTCTACTATATTTGGTGTATGGAATGATTGTAAGGTGTACATGTCTAGCTGGCAGGTGTCATTTGACCTTGACCTCATTTTCATGGTTCAGTGGTCAAAGTTAAGTTTTTGAGTTTTGGTCTTTTTTTCTAATACTATATGCAATAGGTCAACTAAAGAATGGTGTATGGAAATATTTTATGATCTATATGTCAGTCGCACTGGTTTTATTTGACCTTGACCTCATTTTCACAGTTCATTGCTCAGTGTTAAGTTTTTGTGTTTTGGTCTGTTTTTCTTAAATTATAAGCAATAGGTCAACTATATTTGTTGTATGATGGATTGTTAGCTGTACATGCCTGCCTGGCATGGTTCATCTGACCTTGACCTCATTTTCGTGGTTCATTGGTCAATGTTTAGTTTTCTTGGTTAATGTTAAGTTTATGTGACAGTTGTAATAAAGCTTTATATTTAGGACTATCAACATAATATCAGTGATTAGTAAAGAAGGCGAGACATTTCAGTGTGTGCACTCTTGTTTTTTTTTACATTTAACAAAAAGATAGTCTGGGGTTAAAGTATGTTACACATCAATACTTTCATAGAATTTTATGAAACTTTGGCAGAAGCTTTTTTATGATTACAAGATAATGTCTGAAGCAAATTTTTGAAAATATATTTTTTTCATTCTCTGTATATTTTTTTTTTATAGATGGACTAAGTTTTTTACAGTTAACATTTACAGATAGTCCGGGATTTCACTTTTTTGACATGATAAATTTGTAAACCTTCATGGACTGTTATGAAACTTGGACAGAAGCTAATCTTCAAGACCATGAAATAGCATCTAAAGAAAAAGTTTGAATTTCAATTTAAAAACTGTATTTTACTGATAAATGAAATCACTTTTTAAGTCAACATTACACTTTTACACTGACAGCAGCAATCTCAGGCGAGACACAGGGTTCCGTGGAACCTCTTTTAAATTTTTTTGAGAAAGTATGCATTTTTCTAATGTTATCAGGGGGAAACACTTAAGAGAGTTCACTGTTAACTGGTTGTATATTCAAAGGATACATGCATGTTTAAATTATTTTAGGCAAACAAACACATTTACCAAACCCTTCATAAAGAAATAAATGAACAATTATTTTAAGGCAATGTAAAATAAATTTCTGGTTCTCAGATTCTGTGACTGCTCTATCAGCAGCTAACTTGTGTTTCATTGCCGAACACAAAAAAAAGTGGTGTGAAACACATTTAAATATGTATATTCTTATGTAGTAATTTTTAATGTACAAATTATGTAAATATCTTACTGCTTTATCACAAAAACTCATGGTGACATTTCAAAGGTTCTGTTTGGACAATTTTGTAAAATGAACACACACTGATAGAAAAACTGAGTCAGTTAGTCATAATTTTTCTGACTGTTTGTTTGAAATATTTTCAAAGGAGTAATTTTAGATATATCTTTTATTTTTTTAACAAATTTTTCCAAAGAATCAGCACTCAACTTATAAAATTATAAATGCTCGAGCATATGACAAGGTATAATTTTTAATTGCAGTTATTTAGACGAGTGGCTGCTGCATTACCTGGAATGGAACAAACAGATAAACCTAGAGGAGAGAGTATCCTTTTGTTTTTAAAATTCTACACATGGTTGAGCATCTATAGGTTTTTGTTGCAAGCTAAACATTTCAAGGATAAAAAAACTTGTATACATTTCTACATACAAAAATCAAAGGCAAGGTAATCAATTTTTGGTTATCCTGCTTAAAGCTTTACATAAAAAACATCACAATATATGAAAGATCTTAAAGGTTGTATGTCCACTTTTATCCAAGGTTTACATCGACAGACTTATAATAGATTAGACATGTTAGAGACAAGTCAACAAAATTAAGCTTAAATTTTTCTAACTGATTCTATGAAAATGTACAGGTTGCAAAGAAAATTTCATGATAAAAATGAAATAAAAAAGCACTTCTTATAGACAAATTTGTTCCTTGGAAGTAAGCTTCTGTGAGTGATAAGTGTTATCATAAGTATGTCTGTACATCATGTACATGTACCAGAATTATATAGGTACATCTCAGATTATTGTAGTCCTTTGTCTCAGTACAGGGAATGTTACCCATTTAATGTATGTCATACAGTTGAGGAAACTTGATGTTAATTACGTTACCGTTATAATTTATAACGATGTTTATAGTGTGCGTAACTCAGATCAGTTAGCAACGTGGATGTTATATTGTCATTTACAATTCCCCAAAATATTTGAAACAGAAATTTCAGGCCTTTAGCAATGAAGAGGACGATGAAGGTAAAAAAAGTCAATTTTATTAGTGATTTGTATCTTGATTTGCATTTTTAGCTGCAGTCGTGTGCATTATTTTATGTTGCTAAAGAATTTTGAAACAAATGTATATATAGTCAACTATTTATTTCACTTTACTGTAAAAAAAACAAAACCAAATTGTCAATGTTATTTTTTTTTTTAAAGCTGATCTGCATGCTTTAACACCTTTGAAAAAATAAATCTGATTTGAAGCATGTTGTAGAGGCATATAATTCCCCACACAAAATCCTCTAGATGAAAATGCATTTTGGCACATAATGCTTGTTGCAGCCTAGCTTCTTTTAACTATTAATAGAATGATATACATAAAGTTAAAAATGCACCAAAATACAATTCAACTTATTTATTGATTTAACATGTTTAATGAAAAATACAAAAAAATAATACAAAAAGTACTATTATTTCAATTGAAATCTAGAAAATGAAAATTTTTTTTTTTCTCTGTCAACCAGAAATCGATTAAGTAAAAGTATCTGTAGAATTCATTTACATTTACTTGTTTGCTTTTAGTACAAAAAAAAAGCTTTAAATGTTGTAAAATTTAAATTTTGTTTGTTTCTTTTTCCTTAACTATTTTCTCAGTGACGGAGGTTAAATTAAAAGACACACCATCGGAGCCAGAAGCAAAAGAAGGAGGCTGTGCATGTTAATACAAACTCCGTCTCTTTTTATTTTTGTGTTGTCTACTGCATTTTGCATGATCGATGTGCATTATTTTACCACCAAAACCTGGGATTTTATACCTACAATTTCCTGCATGTGACATTGAAAATGCCAGAAGGGAAATTTTAGGATGTATCAATTATCGACACAAGACAACTACATGTGTTTTTGTTGCTGGTTGCATTGTGAACATGTATTACTTTTATTTATTTGCCATACTTACTGTTTTTATTCTGTAAATGGTGTATTTAATATGTAAAATCAAAAATGTTTACAATTTCAAATGAAGAACTGTATGGAATGGAGAAATTTTTATGTGTGTTGTCATTTACATTCAGTACAAGTACTTTATATGTTACATTATATTTGAAATACATCCTTATTACAGGCGACATTTTTATCGGAAACAAAATATTATCTGTTTGGGATGTTTGGTCCAAATATCTGAAACAAATAAAAAGATAAATTTAAAATGAAAAAGAGAAAAAAAGGGCAAGAAAAACAAATTTTAGCAAATTCTTTTTTTTTTTTTTTTGTAAAATAGCTCTTTTCTTGTGGTCTTTTTCTAAGATACATATTTTGATTTTGTTAGGTCTTTTATAATTTTACAAGCACATGATCCTCTTCAGCTATTAACTATAAGCCATTAAATCACTTTCATGAACAAAAAAATGTGTGAATATTTAAGATAATAAACATTAGATAAAAGAACAATGTAAAATATGCAAATTATTTTCTAAATGAATGTAAACAATTTTTTGTTCAAAACAAAATATTTAATTATTTTTTTGTTTTGCTTTGTATATGGTGAACTATGTGTTAATTTTCAATTTGTGACTGTGGAATTAATGTTATACACTGATACACATATAAGTGCAACTTTAATTGAATTGTATATTATGTTAATCAGTTTCTGGATGCTTAATATTTTGTATGAATATGTTTTCGTGATAAGTGTTGACATTCATTTTTCAAAAGAAAAAGAAAAGAATGGCCAAATTAAATGACTTTCTACATTCTCCTTCTTGCCCACCCATGCAGTTAACTCTATATTAGTTTTTTATTAATCATAATTAATGACATGTAATTAAAAATCCTTTGTTATTATACCAGGGGAGAAAAGCCCATCCTCCAGAAACTGATTAAATAGTTTAATGGCCTGGTTTTATGAAACTCCCTTAATTTTAAAGTGAATCTTATTTTTGAAATAACTTTTGAAGCTATATAGATAAGAGTTGTGGTTGCTTGATCATATCAACTAGCATTTAGGTCCTGTTTCTATATTTTAGTTTCAACTATTTCATGATCTACATGAAAATTAAGTTAACAACCTTAATTAATCCCTTTTTCCATGCTTTGGACTAATTTCATATTTGTTTTTATATGAAGAATATCCATTCTGTTGAAGAAGGTGTCAATTGGTTTGTTGTGTTGCTTGGTTGCTTTTTCATTTACATAAACCCTATATTTTCATTTATTCATCTGATAAAGTAACCATATTATTGTTATTCAAGAAAATAAAATATTTAAGAAAAATGAAATTTAATTACATATTTTTTTTTTGTGTTTTTGCAGTTCTTTCATGGATTTTCTGAGAAAAAAATTAGGTGAGAAAAACATCTTCATTACTAATAAGTATTTGGTATTCAAATTAGTAAAAATAATTTGTACACCCTAGAATTCAAAATGAGTCTGAATAAAATGGTCTGAAGAGCTTTAGATTGTCTTTGGTTGGTCTGATCTAATTAAAAGGTCAAATTTATGAATGAAAGAAACAATACTGAATAGATGATTTTTTTAATTGTAGAATTAGGAAAATTTTTTAATAAGTCTATGAGATTATATTTCTGTGATTTACATGAAGGTTCATAGAAAGACTACATTTGTCTTCTTTAGTAAATCCATACTGACCAACATCTTGGTCATTTTGGCATGCTTTTCAGACTTAAGCTGTTTTAAGTTTGCCTGGAAACCATTATGCATAAAAAATAATTGTCTCAAGTCATGTTAACTCAAGAGTTATTCTGAGATAAATTTCACTGAGCTCTTAAATTATATTCAACAAAAACTTGTTCAATTTGTGTCCCCAAGGTTAACAAACATAATTAAATATGTATTCAATTTTTTTTAAAGCAAATACAAGCTGTTAGAACATGCTATTCATGTGTTAGTATTTCAATATAGATTCACCATTTGATAGCTTTTTTTTTGTGGGGAGGGGGGAGGGGTTCTTAAGCCACATTAGGTCCACAATAGATATGTATCATAGTTAATATCAGTGTCATATTGCTACAATGTTTTATAGTTTATGAAATACTATTCTATAACATTAAGATCATCATGACCTTCAAAAAGTACCATTGTATGCTTGGCAGGCTAAGATTTTGCATTTAAGCCAAAGTAGTAGCATTTACTAGTAATTTTATTTAATGAGGTCATCCATGTCTGAAAGACACATCATCTGCTTTCAAAAATCATAATGCATTAATGTTCATGATAACTCCTACCATTTAACAAGCCCTTTATTTTTTTCTTGTTGAATTATTTGGCAATTTCACTTTTTTGCATTCGCAACCACAAAAAAAAAGGGGGATTTGCTTGTTAGATATTGTTACCATATATATTATTTGGAATAAAAATGTTTTTACCAATGCTATTTGAATGAACATATAGGAAAATATTGTTAGTTATTATACACTACAATCAAAGATCTGTGCTAGGAATTTATCATTGTAAGGATATATACTATATTTTTTTTTATTGAGCGAGGTTTAATTTGTTTATGGCACAGATAGGGGAAGCAACTCTGATTTAATTCAGTTTTACAAGCAGAGGTGGGAATATTTATACAATTTGGTTTAAAATATGATATATTTATGAAATATTAGAAAAGTTTTATATAAAAAATTAAATAAAACAAATTGAAGTTGAAGTTTTGTTTTAATATGTGGTGACAAATGCAGAATATATACATGTACTTTTAATATATTAAAAAGAGGATTTTTACAGGACTCAGTGTGTGTGTGCACAAAGGGGTGTCCAAAAGCCTCCATACAAATATCAGTACACTATAGGCTGATAATCTTGCTTCTTCATCTTTAGGTACATCTATATGATTTGAGCCATATGTCATAGTTCAATGACTTTGGTTAAGGTTTGCATTCAAGTTGATTTTGGTTAAGTTGTACATCTGAGTCAAAATATCTGTAACTGTAAGTAATAGGATCATAGGACTAGTGTAAGAATGTATGTTTGCAATTAAGTCAGCATCAAGGCAAAAGCAGGTCACTGACCAAATTTTTATACTTCATTAGCATTATATAGGTTTTACATCTAAGTTATCTCAGTACATTAATTAAGATTATCATCTAAACGTTTGTGAACAATCATTAAAGGGGATAGTCAGCATCAAGGCAAAAAGAGGTCACTGTGTCCTACCTTTTACACTTCATTGATTTTGGCTGATTTTTATGTAAAAGTTCATATCTTCAACGAAAGATGTGTTAGTATGTCTTTTGGGGATAATCTGATCTTAAATGACTAGGATTGCCAGTTTTCCTGCCAAAAGTTAGTGGTTCTCTCCGGGCACTCCTGCTTCCTCCACCAATAAAAACTGACTGCCATGACATAGCCATTACTGCTTAAAGTGGTGTTAAACAGCAACAATCAATCAGCATTCAGGTTAAAGTAAGTAAATTGGCTAGATTTCATGCTTCATTAATTGTGGTTATCCAAATAAAATCTTTGTATATATTATAAACTTGTATATTAATTTAAAGTGGGGAGTCGTTCAGCATATGATAAAAAATAGACCCATGTGACATATTTTCTACTTTCTGACATTTGATCAATTTAAAATGAATTATGTAGAATGAGTCAAACATTGTAATAATAGATAACCTAAGTCTGTAAGTTGACCAATAAGGATAGAGAATTACCAATGTACAATATTCCAAAGTATATTTAAACAAATCATTGTCAATATATGTTGGCCTCTTCTATGGGATGTCTTCTAAAGATCATCATTTGAAAAAAAATAATACTCTAATCTTTCATAGTGTTGACTGATTTAGTAAATGTATACTCGGAAGAACTTTTTTGTGGATTTTTTACTGTAGAAAAACTTGCAGGAGAAGGTCGTATAAGGCCACTTTTGACTGCTTTGTGTATAAAATCAATACGTTTCTCAGATATCAGAAATGATGAGCTTGAAGTTTGTCTTGCTTATAAAATTTTTTAAGCATGTTAAAAATCTAGCTTTACATTAAATACTAAAAATCCTACCAAACTTTTCTCACTTTTAGAACAAGAATCATCCCTACATTGAATATATTTTGGCACAGTTTTGGCTAAGGCTGTTGCTTTTATTTCATTTCACCTGAACAAAACTATGAAAAATGGAAATTTTTGTTCAACTATGATGTCACAGTGACATTACTGGTGATATTTCTGGTGTTATATACTTTAATTTTATTAATAAATAAATGAAATATACATGATGTTGAATGGATTAACGAATGTAACTTTAATAACAACTTCATCAAACATGATTTAAAAATAAAAACAAATAGGTATTTCAGCTTGCTGGCCAGCAGATTTCTAGTAGATGAGCTTGAACTAATTTTCATACATATGTTAAAGTAGAAATCCTTCTACTTAAGAATGCAGGATTTTGTAAATATCTTTTGAATTAGATTGGACCAAAGTAAGTTATTTTTAGCTCACCTTGCCAAAAGGCCAAGTAGGCTTTTCTCATCACTTTGTGTCAGTCGTCCATCGTCCAATGACCCCGCCTGCCAACTAACTTGGCCAACATTGCTAAAAATAGAACATGGGGGGTAATGTTTTGTCTTTTACCTTGAAAACCGCTATGATTAGAGAAAATCTGTCAGGGGCAGAAATGTGCAGAATGTTCAGATCTACCTGCTGTCCAACAATGTATTAGTTTGTGATTATGTCTAATTTATAGTGAACAACTAGTGGTAGGTCAATGATATTTGGTATGCAGTTGTATTTGCATTGGCACATCTCATTACCATTGAGATTGTTTGACCCCACCCTCTAGTTCATGGTCTATTGACTTTGAAACTTTGCTTAGTTTTCATGTATTAGTTTGTGATAAGGTCAAAGATATTTGGTATGCAGTTGTATGAGCATTGGCATATCTCATTTCCATGGAAATTATTTGGCCCCACCCCCTCAGTCATGGTCTATTGACTTTGAAACTTTTGCTTAGTTTACATGTATTAGTTTGTGATTAGGTCTTTTTAAGGGGAACCGTTAGTGGTAGGTCAGTGATAATTGGTATGAAGTTGTATAGCATTATCACATCTTATTTCTATGGAGAATATTTGGTACGTACAATAGTGGTAGGTCGAAGATATTTTGTATGCAGTGGTATGAGCATTGGCATATCTCATTTCCATGGAAATTATTTGGCCCCGCCCCCTCAGTCATGGTCTATTGACTTTGAAACTTTTGCTTATTTAGTTTACATGTATTAGTTTGTGATTAGGTCTTTTTAAGGGGAACCGTTAGTGGTAGGTCAGTGATAATTGGTATGAAGTTGTATAAGCATTATCACATCTTATTTCTATGGAGAATATTTGGTACGTACAATAGTGGTAGGTCAAAGATATTTGGTATGCAGTGGTATGAGCATTGGTATATCTCATTTCCATGGAAATTAATTGGCCCCGCCCCCTCAGTCATGGTCTATTGACTTTGAAACTTTTGCTTAAATTACATGTATTAGTTTGTTATTAGGTCAGTGTAAAATGAAGTCAATGGTATTTGGTATGCAAATGTATTGGGATTTGCTAGTTTCATTTCCATGGAGATTGTATAGCCCCACCCCCTCATTATGGTTCATTGACTAAAACTTTTTACATAGTTTACAAGTTAATGTTTGTGTTTAGGTTTGTTTTAATGCAACGACTTACGAAAAGTCAATGGTATTTGGTATGCAGTTGTATTATTATTTTGCATTGGCACATCTCATTTCTAAGAAGATTGTTTAGCCCTGTACCTTCAGACATGGTTCATTGACTTTGAATATTTGCATAACTTACATGTTTAAGTATTGCTATTTTTTATCAAAATAACAAATGGGCGAGACATATCTCTGTGTTAACAGTTTATTACCATTTCTTTTAGTTTTTCCTAATTAGCTTGAACAGTATAATGGATACAAATGTTCATAGCAACTTTAAGAGCAAATATGATCATCAGGACAAGATCTACAAATACATCAATATGACTGAAATTGTCAGTTAACTCTATAGAATTATTGCCCTTTCGTGATGATTTTTATCAAAAAGTGGCCATTGTTGAAGATGCAGGCGAGCAACACAGGCTCTATAGAGCCCCTTGTTTAGAAACTTTTTATATGCTGCATAGTTTATGATCATGTAGTCTATATGATATTGGGATAATCGCCTGAAACCGTTCAAAGATATATTTGGGTAGTTATAATAGGATTTAAAGGTAAACTTGTTCCAATAGAATACATTTATTTTGATAGTTTTTGTCTCACTTGACGGAGTCAAAAAGCTAGACAGGTATGCTGTTTCCGGCATTGGCGGCGGCGGCGACGGCGTCAACATTGTATTAGTTTGTGATTAGGTCTAGTTTATGGTGAACAACTAAGTAAGTTAAAGATATTTGGTATGCAGTTGTATTAGTATTGGCACATCTCATTAGCATGGAGATTATTTGGCCCCGCCCCCTCAGATATGGTCTATTGACTTTGAAATTTTTGCTTAGTTTTCATGTATTAGTTTGTGATTAGGTCAGTTTATGGGGAACCACTAGTGGTAATTTAGTAATAATTGGTATGCAGTTGTCTAAGCATTGGCATATCTCATTTCCATGGCGATTATTTGGCCCGCCCCCTCAGTCATGGTCTATTGACTTTGAAACTTTTACTTTGTTTTCATGTATTAGTTTGTGATTAGGTCGGTTTATGGGGTACCACTAGTGGTAGGTCAATGATATTTGGTATGCAGTTGTATTAGCATTGGTACATCTCATTACAACGGAGATTATTTGACCCCGCCCCCTCAGTTATGGTTTATTGAATTTGAAATTTTGCTTAGTTTACATGTATTAGTTTGTGTTTAGGTTTGTTTAAAGGGAACTGCTTATGATAAGTCAATGGTATTTGGTATGCAGTTGTATTAGCATTGGCACATCTCATTTCCATGTAGATTGTTTGGCCATGTACCTTCAGTCATGATTCATTGACTTTGAATATTTGCAAAACTTGCATGTAAAAGTGTTGCTATTTTAATTTCAACATTTGCATTATCGAAATAACCAAAAAGCGAGACATGTCTCTGTGATAAAAGTTTATTTATTTTTTTAGGGGGTTCAAGCACCTACTTGGATTTTGTCATGAATTTTCAATAAGTTTTTGTTTTTCCAAGCATTGAATGGTGAAATCAAGCTTCTTTTTATAGAAGGCGTATTAAAACATCAAATAAGGTTTAATTAATCTGCTTTTTAATTGGATTCTTCTTTCAAGAACTGAAGGATTATCCAATCAGTTTGTTTTAGTTTTTGAAACAAGAAAGGTTATAAGGCGATTTGCACTAATATTTTATTTCTGATTATTTTTTTAATTATTCATCTTGAATGTTATAATCGAGTTCCTCATTACACAATCCTTAAAAATTGAAAAGAATTGATTTAATAGGTAGAAGTTGTTGTGTTTTGGTGCTCCAATCATTGACTTGAATTAATGATTTTAGTGCAGTAGTCTTTTTATTGACTACTACCAAAATGTATGGATACTTTGATTGATTGATTGTTGCTTGCTTAACATCCAATGGAAATACGTCGTACACTTTCTCGACTAGATTAATACATAATGCAGGTTCTGTAAGGTAGTAGACCGGAATGAAGAACGAAGATTTTTTAACAGCCTTTTTG